ACACTTTCCTCACTCAGGAACTCAAGAGCTGGGGTCGGACCCCTCTCAGTGTGTGAGTTGTGCCCAGCTCTCCATTACACCCATCTCCTCCAACCAGTCCCCCAGTCCAGCACCTGTACAAGTGGTTTTCCTGCTGATCTGAAGGAAAAAAAAAAAAAAAAAAAAAAGGAATCCTTTCTGGACCTCCACTAATAGCTCAGAAGAGCTGTGCCAGCAAGGGATGAGAAGCAGGCGGTGACCATGGAACACTGCAGTGGTGCTCCAGGGCAGAAACTGGGATCTCTCCAGTAGATTAATGCTTAGTTTAATGAGCAGAAGCCAACAGTCCCTCAGTTCTCAACCATGCCAACACTGCCTGCCTTTCTGTAATGCTGGGGCATGCTAGGGCCTGTGCCTGCATTCAAGAGGGGGATTTATTGTAATAGCTGATGTTAGCACTGCAATACAGGCAACAAACCTGCTCTCAACATGCAACCAAATTCCCTTTTCCTGGAAACTCTTTGCATATGAGCATGCAGCCCATCAGCCCACTATTTCCTGCTCCCCCAGAATGAAGCCATAGGAGCCTCCAGCCCTCCCAGCCCCATTGTAGGGAGCAGATTCCTCCTTCCTACCTAAAGAGGATCTCAGGCGGTTGTGTGGTTGCATCCCATAGTTTTCCTCTGTACCAAAGATCTTTGGGTTTCCCATCTGTAACACTTATCAGAGCCCCTCTTTGGCTCATTTCTTTAACAAATCTTCCCCATGCACCTCACTGGGAGCAGCCCAGAGATAACAACAGCAGATATGGGCTGACCTATGGGATTCGTGGAGTGATCAAACTGTCAGATAACAGAATAAATCCTTCTCATGGGCTGAGGATTAAATCAGAGAGTGTTAGCTGCTGCAGCTCCTTATTTATTTCTGTTCTCTTAAATTGCATTTCCCTTCCCCCCACAAAGAGTGCTTGCTGCCTACAGCTGTAAATTACTGCAAACCTTTACAGTACGCTTAGACACTGACTCCCTTAACCTTGCAAACACCTCTTGTTTTCCTTGATGGCCTCCAAAAGCTCTTGAGAAAGAAAAAGCAAAAAAAAAAAAGAGGGATATGATACGATAGCAGGTGTGTATCATGATATCATGGCCTGGCCTGAAGGTTACCATGGGTTGGGTGTGCAGCTGGTGGCTTTTGCATTCAGCAGCACCTCACCCCTGCTTCAGCCCAGCCTTCCTCCATCCCCATG